CATGCAGGCCTCCTTGCTGAGCTCACCGCAGCCTACTCGTACAGGGCCCCACATTACTGAAGTGAACAGATGGTATCTCTATCACACCTGGAAAACTACAGTCCATGCTGCTGCTACCTCCACACAACGAGAGTTACAGTGTAACCACTTCCCATTCTAAATCCACCTTTACCAGCGTCACTTGATTTTCATGTGACCAAACTCTAGTAGAAGGGATCAATTGCAAGAGGTAGATTTACAAAAGTGTGTTCTCACCCCAGCAATAATAGTGACTTCTCTGGGAAGCAATATTCTGTAAGATCAAAACTTTTAGCTGTCTGCTCCACACCAATAATAGTGTAGCCTTCCGTTTTTTTCTGCTGCAAATAATCAACAAGCTGAGCTGGTTTCACCTGTTAGTCAAAAGTAGAGAGGAAAATACAAATATTTAAATATCACCATTTGTAAACTTCTGAGGTTACTGTAAAAAAATCAATTTACTTGGACATTTTATAAGAATAATGACTTATATGCCCAAAGACTCTATACATAGCTTAACATTTTAAAAGCTCTTCAGCAATAGCACAAAAGGTTAAGTAATGCCACAAAAACATACTCCACGAATACAATGAACAAAGGCTTTTCTATGCTTCTGACAGCCACAAGGCTTACATCTGAATGTAAAAGAATCACCCTTGCATAGGGACAAGGTGCTTAGTTGTTATTTAACCTGGAATTCCGTCCCAAAACAATACAACAGCCAGCACGGAAGCTGAGTTGCCTTACACGCCTGCATTACAGGTTCTGACAGCTTGCAGTGAATGTCTTAGTTGTCTTCATCTTGCTCTCTAAACTGCTTATTTCTATTAAATGGCAATTTCTTCATGCAACAGAAGCTCTATCATCTGTACACTTCTGTACAGAGATTATGCACTTGTGTCCATCAGCATTCTGTTTTAGTCAAAACACACTACAGCTATCTTGTTCTGAAGAAAAATCTTAATACACTGAAAATTAACACTGTGGTGAAAAACACGAAAAATTTGCAATAAATTTTTCAGATGACTTAAAGTTGATCTTGTGATTATTATAAAATATCACAAACAAATTTTCTACCAAATACTAAACGTACAGGTTGAAACCCTCATTTTTATAAGCTAGATAATAGGTTCTAAAAGCTTGGCACAAGTTAGCTTCAGGAAAACTCAAAGATTATCCCCATGAAGTTACCAAAAGCAATGGAGCAAGCAAGATAACTGAAGTGTTGTTCAACTTTTATAAACAAACATCAAATTCCAATGCAGTAGTATAAAACAAAGAGTAAGATGTAACAATTACAGCTCGCATGATCAGTTTATCACAGCAATAAGAAATTAGAAGTATTTTTTAAATTACTTTTTATGAAGTTGACCCAAAGTTTGTATCAAAATACTCAAGATTAAGTCTTAGAGAAAACAGCGGGAGCTTCTGTTAAATACAAAGTTCATTTTTGCAAGATTAAAAAAAGTAAAACTCTGAACTACGCATTTTATGAACTGAAGAGGTACAGTACACTTTTTAGCTATTAAAACGTTTCCATTCACCTCAAGAAGGGGGAGCCACTGCTCTGCAGAAACACTAAGATGCTGAAACTGCTTATCCTGTATATAATGAAGGCTGCCGACAACTAGTGCAGATGCCCCAAATATTTCACTTGTACGACATAAACCTACAAACAGAAAAATTAAAGTGATTTTTGTGTAGGCAATAAACACCAAGCCAGAATATTTTAGCAAGGAAAAAAGGACAAAGAATCCGAAAGAGAAATGGTTACTTTAGTCCTGTATTTTTGAATCAGTTTCAGGTGCGTCTTACATCTGTTCCAAGCCACACCTTGTTGCACATAATTTACCAGAAAAAAATAAAAAAGGTTTGTACCTTAGCAGAAAGATAAAAATTAGAAAAGCACTATGTCTGACAACGTGCTTCTACAATACTAACTACACAAAGTAATGGGTCAGCGTACGAGCCTCGGCAGGGATGGATGCACGCACACACACACAAGTGCTTAAGCTCTAAATCCAGTACCTGTTAAATGAAAGGCTTGAGAGGATGACACATGACAGCATTACAATGCAGACAGCACCAGCTGGTTCGCTCATTTTTCACTAAGAGTCTCATGGCAGTTACTTAAATTGCTGACAACAGCAAGCACAATGCAATAAAGTATTTGCAGTATTTATTATATCACAGCTTGTGCAGAAGTCCTTAATCAGGAACAGGCACTTTACTGTCCAACAGTCATGAGAAGCCAGTAGGTCTACAAGATCTGGTTTAATTGTTATAGAATAAAATGTAAAAGCAAAGTATTTCCTTTAACTGTATAGTCAGTTGAAAAACCCAACTGTAACAAAGAACATAAAGACAGTAAGAAATTGAGCATGATTTACAGCAAAGTTCTATTTAATTAATGCATGCTATGTGCAAGTACCTTTTTTTTTTTTTTCTTAAAATGTAACTATGGAAGATCCCCTCTTCTGAAGCACACTGTATTTCTTTTGTTACCAGGTTTTTTCCAGGATAATGATTATTTCTCTGAGCAGTAATTAAATAATTTTCTAATTATCAACATAAGACGAAATTAATTCTTATTATCCAAGTATGGTCTAAGGTCTAAAATAAAAGTTTTAAAATGTGCAATCCACCTTACCTCCTAAATTGGTAGGTTTATCAATAAGTGAAGCCACCACAATCAGTCTGCTGTTTGATTTACCAAGTTTAGCAGCACGATCCTGAAGTACCACTTCCAGGTCTAAACTAGGAGTACTGTTTTTCCAGGGTATAATTTTTCTCTGAACATCAGTCCATTCCGTCTGGCTATCTGTTTCAGCTGAATTTGAACCTATAAAAACAAGTTGTAGTCATATGGATAGGCAAGCGGTAAGGAAAATACTGCTTCAGTAAAGAAGATTATCTGAATGGCAATACTGTAGACACCATTAGTTATTTACTACTATTTTATGGCATATCCTCTGCTCACATACATACAAGTCTACTTCAGCTGAAAAACAGAGATCAGATTGAATACAGATGTATACAGTTACTACATATTAATAATATTTCCTCTAGATTAGCTATATTTTACCCATGTCTTGCTGGGACCAGTCACTTGGTTTCAGATCACGAAGCTCCATTCGAGAATGATACCACTGAAATGCTGGTGGCAGAGGAACGTCAGTGAATCTGTCAAACTTAGGGAGTGATATCCATTCATCTTCAGCAAGTTCCGCAAGGCGGGGAAGAGTGTAAAATATTGTCTGCAATGTAACACAGTGTTATTAGCAGAGCACTGCTAAAGCAAGCAAAACAGGTAATAAATTAATCTGATAATACTATCACACACATCTTCTTGCATTCTATGATTTCAATACCTGTTTTTCTTGATACTTGATATAACTTACTAATATATCTCTCAATATTAATCACTTTACATACAGTGCTATCCCAAACTTTCATAGATCTAGTCCCTTTCTCTCTGATTAGACCTTTTTAAAGGATCTGCATTGATTACTGATCTGAAATGCTAGAGTACCAAAAAATTAACACTATGCGTCTCAACGCAGAGGTCTTGTGAAATTGTAATGCTGAAGAGTTCTCAGATGCTCTTATGAACTTCTGGTAAAGAACGCAGATTGACTATATTCCTTTTGACATTAAATCAAAACCATTAAAATCTAGTGGTAAAATTCAACTCGGCACTAGCAACACAGCTAACCACAATTTATCAAGGAGGAACAAACACGCACCCCAAGGGAAAGGCTGAATAAGATAGAGAGTTTAAAACCCAGATATTTTGTTTATCCCAATGCACCCCCAAGACGAAGGTGAAGATGCACCCTGAATACATTTAAATACTTAACAAGTATTAGCCTTGTTTTGTTGTTTGTTTTGTGGTTTGGTTTTTTTCCTTGTTCAGGATTTTCAGTTCCAAATTTTGCTAAGTCATACCTAGCACATTCAAGTGTTCACAAAAATATTTCACAGAACAGTTAAAAAAGAAAAAAATTCCCTCTCTGAAAGATGGCATTGTTTGTGCCAGAACACATGTACCCTTTTTCACATTCATGTTTCTCTTGTATTTTCAGCTTAGTTCCCCTATCTCTTATTTTTATCTGCACCCTTATTTTCGCTTTTCTTCCCTCATTGTTTATTCAGCTCAGTTAAGCTACAGCAAAAAGCACAGCTGAAAAAGATGCTCTAGAAGTTATATATCCTGTTCACAAAAAACAACTTAGTTAAGCAACCTCAAGTTACTTCTAAGAACAGATGTCTCAAAAATCCTAACAAACTACACGTGATTAAGTAGATGCTCTTCAGTTATTAGAAGTAACTTTTCCAGCCACAAATATAAAACCTGATTAACTCCCACACAGATGGGCACATTCATCACAGATAACACTTCTTAATTGACATAGGTTTTTAACACAAAATTAATTAGAGAATTAAGCTGCAGTCTTAGTCTAACATCCATCACCATCTAGGTAATTTTTCAGAGTTTTAAACGAGTAATAGTTGATCATTATTAATCCTACGTTAGAACACACAAAGAAAGATAAAAACATATTTGTAAAACTACACAAGTACAATGATCATCCATAGTCCTGGACTTGCCTCTAGACTATAATCCTCAAGCGGATGAAATGTTGCAAAGAAGAAGTGATCCTGGATTCGCTGCCAGTTCCTTTTAGCATTCCTGAAATTGCAGAAGGTAACGCAAGATGCACAAAAAAGACAATGTACTGGACTATTTTTTTCATTGTCAAATTGGAATAAGGCAACTTAATTGTATTTACCATGTATTGTATGGGAAAAAATACTTTAACAATTAAGGGCCATTTAAAAACAAAACAAAACAAAACAGCATTCAGGAAATAAGTTTTATTTATCTTTCAAGAAAGGCCCATAACTTGTGTCCAAATTCTATTAGCAAAAGAAGCAACTTTGGCAAGAAAGAGTATCCCATATCTAGGCCTTTGAAGGAAACCGAATACCAGCCTATGGTTCAGTGACAACTTTTAGCAGTCAAAAAAAAAAAACAAAACCCAAAACCAAAAATGAACTAACCAACCAAAAAAAAAAAAAAGCAGACTCCTCCCTCTGCTGCTTTTTGTATCCCGTAACTTGACATGCCAACTTGGGTGACTTCACAGTGACACTGATTTGGGAAATGAACACCAATGTTCTCCAAAATAAAATAAAACAAAACAAAACCCCAAAACCAACCAAACAAAAAACCAAATGCAAAAACCAAACGCACCAAAAAAAAAAAAAGCCTGTCAGCAGCAGTCTCGAGTTTATGTTGGCTGATAACACTGTCAGAAATTGTAAATAATTTTAATTAACTCCTGAAAACAGGGCTAAAAAACCAATACAAACACACAGGTAGTACAAAACTTAACTGAATTGTTGTATTTCCAAATCAGTAAGCAGAAAAGCATTTCTGTATAGCTCATTTAATAGTCACCCAAAATTAGTTCCCTATCCCTTTTTCTCCCACAGAAGGTTTGGGTTTTTTTTTTTTTCAAATATTAACACCGAAAATGTTTTGGATTTTTACATTTGAGAATTTACTGGTATCAGGAAGTTTGGAAGATGAATTTTCCAAATTTACAACAGATCAGGTAAGAAAAATCAAGTTTTCCTGACTGTCTTTTTTTTAACCCATCTCTAAACTATAAGCATTGTTCAAACATGCCTTGAGTTTTTCCTCTTGTTCTTTCAGACTGTATTGCTACACTGAATTATCATTGCATTTTCTTTGCTGATAATTAGATTTCAATTTCCAAGTTTTGGTTTCTTTTTAAAGAGTTAAAAGCCCCATAAAACCCCATATAAATTATCAAGTGCTATTTTAGGAAGTTGACTTGCTGCAAATAGCTCAAACGAACAACGTTAGGCTGTAAGTCAGAATAATGTTACTAACCCTGTGCCATGCATGTTTTCCACTTGTAGAAGGCTGGATTCAATAACTGGTGTCAGAGCTTCAAATTCTTCCACATGCAACATTCTGCACATACCCCAAATTTTTTTAAGGGCAACCAATGCGTAAAGTCGAACACTGAAATTATGGTTGAAACACCACTGTAGGACAACTATGATGGCTTTCTTCAAAGCTGGCTTCTAAAAAAATCACAAAAATAAAGACGTTTCTTTCATTTATGTTAAGTCTTAACATACCATTCAAGAAGTAAAAAAGTAAGAGTGGCCCAAGAAACAGTGGCTTCCTCAAAAAAAACAGCCTTTCAGAAAGTCCAACACTTTAACAGTACATACATGTGCAAATACAGGCTTCAGAACACAGTCCCGATTTCTTTCCTTCCTTCTCACTAGGGCACAGACCAACAGCCCCACTGGTGTTTTGAAAATGTATTAATTTGCTTCAAAAAAAAATACTATTCTGCATACACTGAAACCTCTCTTTACTTCTGACTTTCTAGCACTTAGAAAGCTCATCTTGCTAATGTATGCAAACAGTAAAAAACCCAGAAAAGCCTGGATTGCTCCAAATGTGAAGCAGTTGATCTAACGTCAACATCTGACTGTATTTCATCCTCTATTTTAAAGTTCAATTAAAAAATTGAGAATCCCAAATAAAGAGTTCTAACTGTTAAATGGACTAGCTATTGCCAAAGAACTCCATACTTGAGTGTTATTCTACAGAACAATCACTTTCTTCCAGGTTATCTCTGGCCAATTTCATGCATATTGAACAAGAGCAGCAAGAAAAAACAAACCTAGGTGCATCCACATGTTTAGTTAAAACTGGAGTAGCTCACAGGTAATCAGGCCCTGTGTCAAGAACATCTGCCATTTAGCTAATTTTCCTAAGTCCAATATGTTACAGAAGCGACAGGAAGAGTTCATGTTTTCCATATCAAAGGATACCTTGGTAGCAAGTAGGTATTAAAAATGTTTTGAAAATAGACTGCAAAAATGCCTTTTATTTCAGAAATCCATATATAGTGAATAAAGAATGAACACTTTCAGTCAAGCTTACCTTCTCTGAGGTATTTTGAAGAATGATGTCAAAGTGTGATAACACTGATAAGAATGTACAGATGCTTGTTTTAAGCTTTTCTTCATCCTAAAGCAAAACAGAATGTAACAAGAAACATGAATATATAAAACGTTTTTATACCCTATAAATATTCACAGTATATTCTGCAGATGCAGTAATATCAACACTATTTAAAAAACTATGTTCCCACAGCAAAATTTACTATAAAGTTCATATTACTAAGATTTCATTTTTCCTAACATGTTATTTGCTTTTTACTCACACATCAACTGGAAGAAAGTATACAGCAGTGTAAATGAGCTGAAATTCAACCTAAATTCACTATATTCCCCCCCTGCCCCCAAAAAGCCCTAAACCAAATAAAAACCTTGGGAATTATTCTCAGTACTCCAACTTTTCCATTACAAACATGGGCATCGGATGCAGAACAAACAGCCTAGCATCAGCCTCACCCACATTCTGTATTGGAAGAAATGAGTCTCCACAATTCTATTCATCACTTCTGTTTACAGATACAGTTCCTATTCATCCGTTTTGCTGCAGCATTGGACTGGGTGCTCAAGTTCATCTCATTTTTCAATACAATCCCTGAAAATCCTTTTCAGAGTCACTGTTTTCCAGGACAGCCTCTGAAAATACAATCCATATTATTTTTTCATAAACCTACGTGTTTTCCACTTGCTCTGTTGGTTTGAATGGACCTACTGTGATTCAGTACATTTGTTACCAGCATGAGATCGCTTTGATACAACAGATTATCATCTACCAAGTTGATAGCAATTCCAACTGCCTGAGCTCTTGGAAAGAGCTCTGAATTAGGAAAAGGTTATCATCCCTTATAGCACTTTTCATCAGTTCAAACAGGCATGATGAGGCATCTTTATGCACTTAAAAAGAAAAGTAAAAATTTCTCTTTCAGTTTACAACTTATTCCCCTGCACAGAAATAACACCACAAACAATAAAACCCCCAAAACCACGGCAGTCATCACTAGCAAGCAAAGTTGTCTCAGAGCAGTATTAAAAACCTGCCTGATTTGAGGCAAAAAATGTATATATAGAGTTTTCCACTTTTTTTAAATTTAATTTTAATTCTTGTCCTAACATTTGTCTTTAAAAAAAAAAAAACCTACAGTAGCAACTAGGCTATTTGATAAGCAGGAAGACATCTACATTTAACTATTAGGAGTGGTCAGCTTCAGCAGAGGCACTACTGCAAGCAATGTCTTCCTTATCACTGGAGGAGATGCAAGTCCACACACCTTCCCCTCAGCCCAAATGTACAGTGCTAACAAATTCAAGGATATTAAAACAGACAATTACTATTTCTACAGGTCAACTCTTACAGGTAATTACTTAAAGAAGAATCCAAGACATAAAAAATGAAATGCTAGTAAGTCAGTTCTCCTCAGTTAACCCTTTCATGACCTTTGGGTAATTCCCTAATTCAAAACCTGTGTCCAGTTTTGGAAGCACATTACAGAGCTCTGCTGTGAGAGAAGTCCACATTAAAAGCTGCAAATTGAATTATGTGTTACCCAAGTCATATTGCCACTGAAAAACAAGACGCAGTAGACAAAAGCCCGGTGTGGAAACCACATGGGACTTTGCAGTATCTTTCCAAACTCAGAATCCAGGGCATCTATGTGTTCCTGACGGCTCTTTATGTTGGCAACTGCAAAGAGTACTGCTGACTCACTACGGCAGCTCTACTCTGCCCAAAGTAGTGCATTATAAAAGGAAATCTCTCAACTGGAAGAATTCACTTGTCTTCACCTCTCTTTCATGAATTTTGATGTGTCTCAGACTATAGTTCAGACTCACTTCCAAGTTAATTTGACCTGCTCAACAACCCACTGCTTCTAAAAGGAAAACTGGAATACACAGAAAATAAGGTATTGGAAGACAAAAATGTACCCTCTTTGTTCAAATTACTTTTCAAGTGAATGCCGAAGTTCTTACTTACATAGCAAAAACAATCCCAGAATTTATTAAGGAATTGGGGGTATTTATGTAGGCTCAAGATAACAATCCATTCTATGAAGTATTTCACAGATGCCTGGTTGTTAGCAAATCCAGCCTGAAAAACTTTGTCAAGGATTCCATACAAAAAATTCTGAGAAAATAAAATCAGATAATCATTTAGTATATTGTTAAGAGTTATTTCCATTATGAAAAAAAAAATTAAAGAACATTGTGACAATATTAGTAATATTTTTAATACTCCAATGAAAACATTTTAGAACATCTCATTTTTTTATTATACTTTTCAATTATTTCATTATAAAGACGCATTAGATGAAATGAAAATTTCTCAATTTTCTGACTGTTCATGAAGTAGCGCCATTTTTACTAAATTAAAAGCTTTAAACCAGATAGTCAGTACAGAGTTTTAGCTAGCTTTAACAGGAACAACCTAGTCTCCTGTAATTCACAAATCCAAGAACCAATTTTCAGTGACCTCTAGAAATGCATCGTAAATCCATGACTTCAGACTGAAACAATGAAAGTACACAAAACTTCTACATCACCCATGGAGATTACATGCCATTTATACCCCACTGTAATTTAACATACGCAGTTTGCATGACATCAAATTATTCTTTAAAGTATATCTTTATTTAAGAATTCATAGTTAAGAGCAATACCTGGTCAAGCTTTGGAAGAAGAACTAAGAGTGTCTGCCATACCCGGTTTTTAATTCTATGCTGTAAAGAGTTTGCATAATAGCGTGTTCTAGATCTGGATACCAGTTCATCCTTAAAGCAAATTAGAAGATTTATTACTTTTCTTCCTTTAAAACTGAATACATGGAAATATACTTTATTGCACTGGGAAAGTAGCATCTACTGCACAGCTAGTATCAGCATTAAAGTCAAGAAAAAATATTAATTTAATTTATTTAGAATTAAATTTTGAAGCTTGTCTATGAGAAGTTCAGAAAGTTGAAAAAATACACAATTCCACTTAGTGCTTTTACTTAAGAGCACAAAAAGTGTTAGGTATTAAGACTCTTCAAACAACAGAAAGTTGCAGAATTTACCGCGCCTACTGTATGTGAACAATTAAAATAGTACTACATAAAACGGAGCATGAAGACTCAAGCTGTCATTTAGTTATAGGACAACTAAAGATCCTAAGTGAAGAGATGCGTATATAAATGAAAACATTTCTAGTTCTTTGGCATTTACATTTTAAAAATGGGTTTATTCGTGCTATCAATTAGATCAGCTTGTAACTACAGCTCTAGCTCTGAAACAGAAATTGATATTCTGCAATAAGATGTTTTACATGAAAGAAAAATTATATGATAAATGGAACTTTAAAAGGATTTGAAATTCATGTTCTCATATAGCTTAGATTCTTCCCCTATGTACTCTGTGTTGGCCTTCAAAACACATGACACCCAAAACTATTTCCTTAACTTTTTAAGAAAATAGTTTGGTGATCCAAGTCCTCAAGCTCATTAAAGCTCATTTTCCCCACCTGATCAATCTTTCAACACAAATACTATCCATATTTCTCCAGTAGTTAACAGGAATGAAGGATCACCCATTTCTTTTTCTTCAGATAAAAGCAGAATTCTACAGTACTAAAATGCATGGGTAATATTTTAATAGCAGCTGTACTCTGTGTTGGCCTTCAAAACACATGACACCCAAAACTATTTCCTTAACTTTTTAAGAAAATAGTTTGGTGATCCAAGTCCTCAAGCTCATTAAAGCTCATTTTCCCCACCTGATCAATCTTTCAACACAAATACTATCCATATTTCTCCAGTAGTTAACAGGAATGAAGGATCACCCATTTCTTTTTCTTCAGATAAAAGCAGAATTCTACAGTACTAAAATGCATGGGTAATATTTTAATAGCAGCTGCAGTAATTTACTAGTGACTTTACACTACTGCCAATGTATAAGCAGCTATGATGTAAATGAAAATCAGACCCCAGCCTTCTCCATTAATTCTATTTATAAAGGTCTTCTAAGGAGAATAATAGCACTCTCAAATCAAAAGGTAGTCTGCAATTGTTACAGTGAAATGTAGTGCTTCAAAATGCAGCCTAAAGGATGATTCTTAATGAAACAATGGTTACAATTTGGGTAATGTTTTGTGAGGTCAGAAAATCCACACCAAAGAAAAAGGAAGAAAAAAAAGAGAGAGAGAGAGAGAAATAGACCTGAAGACCATTTTTACTATTTTGTTTCAGCTGAACTTCTGTCTTGTTACCAAAAAAAGTGTATTACTGGGCAAATCTAGGCTATACAAACAACTGTAAATATCTCCTGTCAATTGTAAATACTTTGCATTTTAGTAATTGTACTAACATTACATTTATATACCAAGAGAAATTAAGTTTACTTTATCAAGTAGTTTGATGAAAATGTCTTCCATAAACGCCTTATGCAAGATATTTGATCCATCCAACAAGCACAGAAATTTAATAGCACAAACCCGAACGTAGTGATCATCTCGATTTGTACTGTAAAATATTAATTAAAAAAAATCAAACTCTACTTGTTCAGATAAAAAGATAATCCCTAAATTGTAATAAAAGCACCAAACATCATCTTGAACATACAGCCATCAAGTCGTCTGTAGTGAGACAATATGCAAATACTCAGAACCAAAATTTTAACATCTGCTCATCATTGCTGATGAAGAAAACCAGTGAGTTACAGATAACCTGCCCCTCCTTCTTCTACCTACAGGTCTTCAATAGCATCTAAGTGTTTAAAATAATTTTCTACAAAACCAGCTGTATCTTAAAAAGCTTTTTAAAATCTGTACCTCTAAGCTGTAATCTTAAAACAACTAATTTATGCTTACAGTTTTGGTCAAATATTCTAGTCCAAAACAACACTTCGTTCCAATTAGTAAGTTACCTCAGGGACATCTGGAATAATTAATGCCAGGAGTAGAATTAATGACATTATAGGTAACAAAGCATCACACAGCTGCAGACTGTCACAACCAGACATTTGCAAACCAACATGGTCTTGGGAGAAAATGCAGGAGCAGCCAACTTTGGCAGCAGGTTTTTTGAAAGCTCAGGTTTTATCAGCTACTAACACTCCTCAAAACACTATGCTAGAACCGTTTCTCTGACTTTATTTCACTGAGTAAAGGTGTGAGTGAAAGTACAAAACAAAGTTCAATAACCCACAGCCAATGTTCCTGTTTCAAAAACTGCAGGCAGAGCCTATTGCCAGTACGCAAGCTAAAAAGGCCTACAACCAGTGTCAAAAAGCTAAGCTTCAAATCTGGCTGCATTAAAACCTGAGTTTCTTAACTATCCTGCCTACAATGGTAAGGTACATCAGATCTGCATCCTAAGAAGTACTACTTTTATAAGCTGAAACAATGAGGAAGTAGTTATTTTTGTCCCATTCAGGTTAACAAGTGGGATGTATTTTCCTGAAATTACTTTGCATTTTTCTACATTTTGTATTTGAATTACAAATATAATGTGATGCATATCCCTTTTACCAATATTTTAAAAGGTTATGAATATACTTCTTATGGGTCCCTTCCAACTTCAGATATTCTGTAACTCTACGATAAGAAGCTAATTTCAAAACCACCATCTTTTCTACTGTAGCATCAATCGTAATGAAGACACAATTCACACCAAATATTGTAAGATGTATCATTACCTTTCAGTAACAACATTTGCTGCACATTTTTCTCCAAGACTTTCTATGAAGGCATGCACATCCTGAACAAGTCTTCACAGATGAAAGAAGACAAAGCAACAAAATTAGCAGAAAACTATACAAAACCAGTTTTCAATAGTTATCTTGAAGTTTAAAAGAAAACAAAGCGCACAAAATTATAACAAATATAATCACAAAGTTGGTTTTTTTATACCTTTGATCTCTCCTAAATACAGTTCCAAAGACACAAGCCTCAGTGATAAGTTCACAATAATTTCCAGCATTTAAGAAAGCATTTGTCAAGGCACTTCTCTCATCAACAGTGGGAAATATCCAAGATTGACAACAATGACTAAGGACTACATTGAAGACTCCAGTCTTTGTAGCGGACATATCTATGAGCTTGAAAATTATCTGAAAAGAAGAAGAAATGAAAGACTCAAAATCTAGTTTTCAGAAGAGCCAGAATTATTAGAATAGTATTGCAGTGATGTCTATTTTAGCAGGTCTGATCTGCATCCTCTCTCTCCTCAGGTTAACGCTGTCTTCAATCTATTTACAACTCCCTGATAGGGCAGGTAAATGGGCAACAATTGGCCCAGTAGGTGCCTGTGTTAACAAAAGATAAAACTGATCTTTGCTTAAACAGATACATCACCAGATGCTTTACACAAATCTCCTGATAACTGGAACAAACGCACCTAGGCTTACTTCATGAGTACAAACCTTGTGTTTTTAATCAATCCTTTCCAATTTAGAAAAAAATTAAACTTTAAACAATGTTTCTTCCATAGGTAGTCATATCAGTAATTCTCCTCTTTAATGAGGATTACATTCACATTGAAGTTACAGTTTGTATCTGAGTTAAAGTGGGAAAACATCTTTGTACCATTTACTTTTTGGTTTTGAGGTGATATTTAAGATATATGAAACTGCTATCTAGAACTTCTCCAAAAAGGAGAAAAATAAAACAAGAAAAATGGCCTCAAAATTTTCCTTTCCCGCCCCCTTCGTCAGGCTAAGGGCAAGAGTAAACTTCAGTTACAAAGTATTTTTTTTCTAAGAAACTGCAGTCACATGGGAGAGGACAGGGAGATCCAGAACGAACACATGGGGGTTTTATAAACTCCTTTTTACACACCACCAGTCAGAGCTGTCCATGAGAATGGTTTTCCAGAAGGTGTGACAGCTCTTACAAGACAAAGCTGCTTCTCTTCCCCCGCTCTGAAATTATACTTTTGACAATGTGACAATTCTTTGACAGTAACTCTCTTTTTATAGAGGAAGTTGTTCTGAATTGCTAAGGATTAAAGCACCAAGAAGCTCATGAAGAGCTCAAATTGAAATACAGGAACGCACTGTGAAGAAACACTTTCTGGGGGAAAAAAACCCCACCACCCTAGAAACATTTGGTCTTTTTACAAAGAACTCAAACTTTTCTTTCAGTGATAAGACAGGTGTTGTAACTTCCCTAATAATTCCAAACTCGAACTATGGTGTTTCACCTGTAGGGAAGCAGCATGACATTTACTACGCATTTCTCAACCCTGGAATGCTTTTCAATTGTTTCATTAACATAGTAAAAATCCAGCACACACGAAAGAAATTTAAGAAGTTTAAGTTCTAGCACAATTAACATCTGAATAATCAGAAAGGAAAAATGCAGCAGAGGAAATGAAGCCTAAGAACACAGTGCTCTGGGCACATCTGCGGAAGCCCTTCCAGGTATTACCATAGCAATATTTCCATTTTTTGTTTCAAAAATACCCCTTTGTTCCACCCGTTCTATTATTAAGACGACAGAGTGCACTGTGGTAAACAAAATTACACTTCTGTGACAAATCAGTATCGGGCAGTTCCATTTTTTTTCTCTTTAATTTAAACTACATAGCCATTGCTCAAGGGGTCAATGGCAACAGAGACTGCCGAGAAGTGGGATAAGAATATACATAAGTAGGCACTTGCTTGGGAACTTTATCTTCATTTTCTTATGAAGGGGCAGCAGGTGGCTCGCCCAGATGCCCTTTGTTGAGTATAGGAGACCTTCATTAGCTCCTTGATGCCTGCTGTCATGGTACGTCCCACTGCAGACAATGGGATAGCTGTCATACAGACTCAAGACCCTCAACATTGGCAAAATACACCTTACATAATGCTTGAAATACTAATGCCGAAGTTAAGACAGTAATTCTAAGAATTTAAACAAATTTTAAGATCAAAGGAAAAAAATCAACTAACTACAGCTCATCAGTTACTACTACAGCTCATCAGTTACTAAAACACTGAGCATACAATTATCCATTACAGACATTCATTAAAAAAAAAGCTAACCAATTCCTAGAACTGAAGAGATATTTTACCATCTCTGCATGTTTCCTATTTTGGTTTGGGTCCACATGAAGAATACAAAAGCAATGTGTTATCTACTGTTTAAAACAGATTACAGTAACATTCCTTTGAAGCAAGCTTTCAAAAAGAACAAAGAGAAAAATAAATGGGACTATATTTTAAGATACTTAGGGCTAATAATGGAGATATAGTAGCAATTTTAAATAGCTAGGAAGTGTAAATTTTTCTGTATTTCATTAAAAATCATTTTGGAGCATCTGGTCTGAAAATAAAGCTGAGACATTTGCTATTATTTACAGTCAGGAGTGTGACACCAGGACAGGGCTACTTATGGGGACTGCAACCCCTGCTAGTGTGATTTCTGTGCTAAGTGTAAAGCAGCACATGAGGCCCTAAGTCTAAGCATAGTCTAAGCATACATATACATTGGTTAACTAATACATAATGTATTACTGCTCTGGCAAAAGTCTTGCAGTCATTGTGGACTGTTCTGCAAACACATTTAATTGATGCTCAGAGGGGAAAAAAGCAAAAAACCCAAGAAAGATTATTTAGAAAATAATTACTTTAGAAAGTAAACAACTTTCCAGCCTATAAAGCCAAGATGAACCAACATTCCAGTACTGAACAGTTTTAGTGACTCAAAATGAAAAGAGAACACCACAACATACAGAAGAACTTTTGGACTACAGGAAGCTGCATACATCTTACAAAAAAAAAAAAAGAAAAAAAAGATTTGTTTTCTACATCTGGACCCTCAGAGAAAAAAAAGCAGTTAAAAGTTGGCTTATTCAATAGCATCTATTAAAAGTTTTGAATGGTTCTAACTTTTCATTTGAGAAAGTACTTTCATAAAGACTAAACTATTAGAAAAAGGCATATTTTTTCCAGAACATGAATAGCTTGTGACAGTTCGGGTGGCAAATCCTGAACAAAATATTCAAGAAGTGCGTAATGTAAAAAATAAAATAAAGACCAAAAAACCCATTTTGCTGAATGGGGAAGATTGCACTTAAGAAGTCTTATGTCTATCAAACTAGTACCTTTTTGGAAAGGAATAATTCACAACAGCTGAAAGAAAACTAAAAACTAAAATACATTTTTAGATCCAGATTAAGTTTATTCTCACTTCCCAAAAACAATTCTTAAACTGACCTCTTTTATTTTGGCGTATGCTTGACCCTTTGCACTTGCAGCAACAGCTAGAACCTCAGTATCAAAGATGAACTGAACAAAAGCTTTCAGATTGGACCAAAATATTAGCTGGGTGTTGCTCAATGAAGATACAATTTTCCAAGCCAAATCAAACGCTTCTATGCACAGAGACTCCGCTGAGTCCAGAAGCTGAAAATAAAGAGAAGAACGAACTGTTGCATTTGACAAAAAACACATCCAAAACTATTAATATCATGCAGTAGTTTTACCTTGGGAACAAGGACTTTCATGCAGTCAAACACGGGTGAAACTTGGTCTGAAGGAAGAATAGTTAGGGCTTCTAAAGCAGACTCTAAAATTTTTCTTGACCTTTCAACTCTAGATAATGACATCTCCGAAGTTTCTTCACACTCTTGAGCCAATGTTGGAAATGAATTTAAAATGAAACGAAGGCAGATCCACTGGTCACAAACATAACGTGCAACAATCTTCCCCCATCCTTGAGATGTTGTTTCTTCACATAAGCTGTAAATAGAATATTATTCTTAAATACATATTGTTTTAATTTATCCTGCACATTCCTACTCCATCAGGAATAGCTTAAATGTACAAACTCACTATACTTCTTCAAGATGCTAAAATTTACACAGTAAGTAATTTCCATTTAAACTGGCTTGTGTACATGCTATGGCTTTGTACAGTGTATATATATATTTAACCTAGCATAAGGATAAGCAATATTCAAAGTTAGCTCTGGCTTCATAGCACTTGAGGACTTAGCAAAAGAACCTTTAGTCTGATCAATTATGGCTGCTTTAACATTCTAAAACCTGAATGTTAAAACAAAAGAGCAAATAGTTTGTGTTCAGAATTCTTCATTTTTATCTTGGCAAAAAGTTATCAAAGAAAAGAACAGGAAAAGCCAGCATCTTAATCACTGCTCCACGCTAATCACATTTATTCTGGAGAATTACTGAAGCTATAGCACAGACATACCTACTTTTCTCCTCAATATAAGATGGCTTCTTTAATACTTCATTGAATTGAGAAAAGGAAATAAATCTCTTCAGAGCATCCACAGAAGGCAGAGATTCAAGGTGCGCTTCAGGTTTCCGATCCATTATCTCACACACTGCTGTAAGTGAAGCCATGCTAGCTACTTTTTTAATCTGTTCTTTAAGCTTCGGCTCCTAATTAAAACCAAATCATACATGAACAAACATGCATCATTTTCTTCTAACATGACACAAACACCCTACTGATACACTTTATAATCCTCCTATTTGTATCACACCTCAGACATCATAAGGTAGCAACTCTGCATCCTTCTACTTCCTTACTTTCTTACCCTATGCATAACACAGCTTTGCCTGGCTGGGTCATTGCAATCAATCACAAGATGCAAGCATTGAAAAAAGTATAAATCTTGCAAATTACAGTCACTTACTCATTAAGTGCAGGTGCCTAGCTTGACTGTGATGGAACACTTCTATCTTGCCAGGTAGCAGTTTATATATACTGCTGGATAGCAATTAGAAAAAAGATGTGGGTCCACCTAGTCAGAAACCCAATGCAACACAACAGCTGAAATTTGTAATACTACATGCTAACTGCTCAAAAAGGCTACAAGGACATAACACCTACTATGATTATTTTGTGTGATAAATGCACACATTCAAAGAGGCGTGAAAAAAAAAAGTCTCAATTAAAAAGAGTTAAGAAGCATGGAGTTCCCAAATAGTATTAAGAGCTCAATGTTATTTAATTATCTTCAAGTTACTTTCAGCTGTCTAGAGCAAGGGAGATTTTTCTCATCTGTAATTACAGTTTTTTTCTTCTTAAACTGAAGATGTACTATCTGTGCAACTAAAGAAATCATCATGACCATACAATTCCACCGAATTCAAATAAGTGGTAGAGGCCGTCAGTGAACACTAAGTTTGAACCAGAAAATGTTTACTCTGAAACCACTGGAATAAGTGCATAATTCACATAACCAAAGGAAAAAAAATAAAATAAAATAAGTCTTGCTTTTTGTTTCCTTAGAACAGTAAACCTAGCAAGTCACTTACAATCTTTTAATGTGTTATTAACTGTTCTTGATCAATAATTCAACCTAGAAAATGCCAACAATTACATTGCCCAACACATCTTAATTTCAATCTCCTCCTTTCACAGAAGATAATGTTTCTTTACCTTTTGAAAATATACCTATTTCAGATATACTGACCTAATACATACAAATATGGGACAATGAACATAACTCTATGAAAAAGCCAAAGCAATGCTGGGTTCTGGAATTTCCTTTTCTATGTTCCAGCTTGGAAATTCAACAGATCATTAATACAAAAGGCATTTTCATTTAACAGTAGCTTCTCCAGTAAGATCGGTTCATATTTGAGGAAAAAGGTTTTCAGAACACATTATTACAACTAAAGTTTTACTTTAGCTATATAGACTTCAAAAAAAAATATAATACAAGAAAACAAAAGTACTAAAAAATCTTAGCTACAAATATTTTACATTCACATTACACTGCCAACTAAAGACACAAGTGTGGTAGGAAATATATATATACACACGCATACATATTCACACGTTCTTTGTTATT